CCTCATGGATCGCATCACAATTCACAATTAGTTGTACGGCCTGATTTAATACTACTCCTTTTGAAGTATTTCAAATATATATATATATATATATATCAATCATCATGAGATTTTTCGAGAACAAATGTTGCACAGCTCAACGAGTTCTGATATTTTGACTTCCCCAAGTATTAACGATCACATTTTCGATGGAAGGTATTGAAATGAAGAAAAGGAGCTTTAAAGAAACACAGCTTTCCGATTTTCATTTGTGTATTGAACCAAAAAAAGGTTGACATCAGGGGTGGTAATGAGTTGGAAAGTTGTCGAAGATTGGACTGAATGAAAATCGTACGCATGTGTTCTTCGTCTTGTATGGTGTGACTTAAGAATTTTAGAATCACACTAGACAATTTACAAGTCTATTCTATAACGCCCTTTTATCATAGCTACCTTTCGACAATAATAGATCAAGCTTTAAACCCACGTTCTCTATAAATCGCAACATAAGAATGATAAAACTTGTGATACTGTACGTTGTCATCATCACGTCAATTCCAAACCCTCATGTATCATACCTGCCTACAAGAGTAACTTGGGATTTTAATCCGCATTCCCTCTATAGCATGTGACATTTCGAAAACCCTGTGAAGCTGTATCTTGTCATCCTGACCATGGACCACCAGACCTACATTCATCTCTAACCGAGATTTCATAGATCATGGGTATGAAATATGTCTTTTACTTGTTGGAACCTCAATTACATTTGTGTCAAAAATTTGAAGCGCTTCATACAAAACAGAAAACTGGAGGAAGTTCGAATGTTCTATACTGTACTTTAGACTCTCCATTCTGCTATAACATTCAAACAGAAGTTGAAGAATCATTCTTATCTCAAAAAGTCGTTTGAAGAGTTACATGCCAAGGTCTTAACAGTAGTCTTCAAAGCCAGACGCACAAAAAACCAAATTTATCATTACGATTCATGATATGTTACACTGAAAAATATTGGTCCCTACAACTTTTGTCTTAAAAATGCGTATTTAACCGGGATGCAGACTTAAGTGATAGCTTGTTGTGCATGACTGGAGGTAGAAACTAAATCAATTTTTTTTTTGTTTGATGAATAAAAGAATCATATCAATAGATTTGCAATAGAATTGAGTCATTGCAAATATGAAAAGATTAACCCAAATATAGTTAGATTGTTTATACGCAGAGTAACCAATCTAACTACGAATATTTTCTTCTTGGAAAGTTTTAAATTATTTAGAGACAGAACTTTAGATTTTGAAATCTGATATTTTTCATTCAATCAGGAAGATCCTAACTTGATATAGTACCACCCCTTTACATTTTAGGTAGTATCTTTACATCAACTCAAAGTGTCATCCGATTTGAAAACGTGAAACATCTCCTGACCTGGCATTTACGTCACATACTTATGAAGAGAATACTTTGTGGGATACAAAAAAAAGAGATTGGAGTAGCTAACTTCATGACTGCAAAGTGTGGTCTTGAGGTTATCTTACTCGTAGGCCTCATACTCCATAAAGTTTATGTACGATGAATCCCTTAGAAAAAAATTTTGCTAACGCGTCGGTATTCCAATTCTTTAATTCCTTCTTCAGGCTGAAATTTTTACTGACTCCATCTTAAAACTGAAATAGATTCACCTGAATATTCCTTCAAAATTTACGAAAATTTTGCAAGATAAATATTAAAATAAAAGGTACTTATTATAAATTTTTCTCCGTTGAGAAAATTGGGTCTCTAAGATACAACCTCCAAGATGTGTATCATTTTGCAAATAACAACGTCAAATATAAGCAATATGTATCTTCTTTGCACATTTGGCAGTTTTGTCTACATGTTTGGAATCAAAGCCTCACAGTTTTTATGGGACACGGGAACGATGTATCCATGATCGACAGTCGTTACAAAGCGCCATGCAGTTGATTCCAATCCCATATCTTGGCACTACTGCGTATTATATAGTATCGATAGCACGTGTTTATTTATATGTACGGTCTGTCCTAGCAATTTCATGCATTTGATTCCAATCCCAGATCTTAGCACTACTACTACGTATTATACATGTATTATATAGTATCCATAGCACGTGTTTATTTATATGCACGGTCTGTCCTGTCTGGACGCAACATACCACACTCGTCTCTGTCCCCACGTGTCCTTTCTCTTCAACATAGGCACGAGATCTTTTCCTTATCTGAAGACTGTCAAGTCATCCTGCATCATCTTTAGCTTTTTTAACAACTTGATATTTCTTTCGTAGAATAGTGCTACAATCATTCCACAACTACATTGTTCAAATTTCTTATGGTGCCAGGAATACAGTGCTAAAATATCATATCATTCCACAACTACATTGTTCAAATTTTTCATGGTGCCAGGATTATAGTGCTAAAATACCATATTGCTTGCAGTAGAATTTTGTCTACTCTAACCGCGAATCAATTGCAATATTCATGATTTGAAACACTAGATGCCATTTCGATATTTTGTATGCATCTTTTATAGCTTATCCAAAAAAGGTAGCTCTGGATTTTACATGCAGATTGACATTCTTTAGTATGCTTTCTAGGTCCTTCCAATCTTCTCAAAAATAAATTTAATTTGAAAATCTACACCATGTTTTGAGAAATTTGTTTGAAGGATTTACCTCTAAGAAATGAATGGGTATCAACAAACATTATTAATGATACTCGCGGGAATAGGTAGTGAAGGTTGTTGTCCGTATGCAGGACGTCCAAAAAGTTAAACACTTAGTCCCTCAGCAACTACTCTAAGCCCACATGCAAGACACGGTGGTCTTCAACATACTTCACAGCCAATAGGTTTGTACATTTGAGATTTTCTTGCATGTGTATTTGTTGCATGATGGTAAAAACGAATATACACAGATCTTCCTTCCCAGCTTGCAGGAGCCAGTAAAGGAAAAACTGGGCTGCGCCATAAGCGCCATACTCCAGTTTTGAATATAAATGTGGATAATTTCTCGTCTCACAAGGCAGAAAAAACCCATACTTTACAGAGGGTTTGAGTGCTGATAGAGTGTTACGGGATGTATTAATCAAGACGTAAGAGTGTGCAGTTGACAACTTGACCTTGCAGATTGACTTAAAAAGTCTGTATCTGACAATGTATTAAATGTGAACCTCCGAGTAGCCACGATGATTCTGAATAAACAAGGGCGATCAATGTATAACAAGGCTCGAAAAGAATAAAGGAACTGGTGCAATTTAAAATGAAGGTGAATGCTGGTATATTATATATTTTTGTAATATCAACTTATCTCATGATGAAAAATTCACTAAGTGTCTTTCAGACGAAACGGAGATCGCACTCCAAGACTGCATGCGATCATGGATTTGGTAATATCAACTTATCTCATAATGAAAAATTCACTAAATGTCTTTCGAACGAAACGGAGATCGCACTCCAAGACTGCATGCGATCATGGGGCCTACATGTCATCCGTGGAGACAAGCAAAGCTAAACTTTTAACAATCTCATACAGCAATTTGAATAGTATCTAAATCTCTTAAATGAAGAATGTTTTGTGTATGACTTGGAGTCCATGTCTTTGGGCATCTGTTTGCAATCCAAATGCTCATCTGTTTGAGCCACAATCAATAGCCCTGCCAGGAAATGTGGTTGGAGCAATATTATATCTAGCATTTGGTTGGAATAAATGAGAGTCTCGTTGTTATGATAAAGAGGTGCCAATCTGAAAAACAGTAGTGATTAGGAAAAGAAGAAGACTCTGAGCTGAAATCTAAGAATAGAGTTATATCAATGCCTAATTGGAAGGCATAGTTAATTATCATATAAACTAAATTTTTTGATATATGAACTAACCAATCATGTAAACATGACACATTAATTTATTTAATTTTTTATGTTAATGAGTGTCCACTATCAATATTGGCTCACAGTCACATCTACCTCTAAAACGCGTGATTAGTTCCTCCCTTCGTCTTTGCTACTAATTATCAATACTTATGACACTGAATCACTTTTTCCCCAAAAGGGGCCCCAACCTTTTAAGTGAGACAGCGGCTTACATGTTTTCATTACTTTCGGTTTAGACAGGGTTGATTTCAAGACATGGATAATTTGAGAGGATTTTATAAGGGAGAAACGTACCTGACACTTCTCAATCTACTGCCCTCCCTTCCCGAAATAATTTTCCCATAACAGATCGGCTGGACTGCTGAAAGCGTGTAGTATTGGATACGGGCTAGTTCACGGGGACACGTAGTTCCATAGTCAGGCGATCATGATTATATAAGCTGCCATCCCAATCACGCGCGGAATTTCATAACAATAAATATTATGGACTGGTCCATTTTTCAAAGGCACGTGCTTCACTGCTAGCCGCCTCAAACGCTCAGACTCTTCTTCAACTCAGCGATGGTTTCTACTTGAATCTCTTTGTACGAACATCAACTTTCTCTGGTAGAACAGTGCAGAGACACAGTGTTCATCAGTTCCTGCCGGCCTGTCGGAATGAATTGACTTTAATGTAATCTGGTAGTCCATATAGTGTATGTAAGATAGTGCTCTTGAATTTCATGTCAGTGCGTGTTGAGAGGTACCATCACGAACGAAGTGAGTATGTATGTAAGCTGGTATTCCATAGACTGTATGTAAGATAGTGATCTAGAATTTCATGTCAGTGCGTGTCGAGAGGTGACTATGTATGTAAGCTGGTACTCCATAGACTGTACGTAAGATAGTGATCTGGAATTTCATGTCAATGCGTGTCGAGAGGTGACTATGTATGTAACCTGGTACTCCATAGACTGTACGTAAGATAGTGATCTGGAATTTCATGTCAATGCGTGTCGAGAGATACCATCACGAGTATACCATTCTCTAAATCTATGATTCATTAATTTGCCAGATGGATTTCGGGACAAATGCATGGATTTCGAGTCAAATTTGTCTGGCTGTTCTTGTGCACTTTTGTTTTCATTGCAAGTGAAGGCAGTCAAGTTTATCTATAGTCTCCGATGACTGCGACCGTGTTTGTCGCAGACGGAGAAAATGTCATTTTTCGGAGAAAATGACTGATTCCATGGCATGGTTTAAAACGCAGATCTAGACATTCTCAGATCTTGGTGATGACACACGTGAGCAAGTTATCGAGGTCGGTCTTAATCTGAACTACGAAGACGAGTGACTTCTTCTCGACCAGCTTGTGCAAGTGCAACGAGCAGATTCAAGGCCTCTGCGAGTTCTACAATTGAGTAGAGCCGAGGTGGTAATCTAGTCCATGGCTTCCATTGCAAGCACAACGTTCAGATGTCTTGGTAACACGCCTGGAACTTCACAATGTGGGTATCACCATGCCGTGACCTTTGCAGCTGTCGTTCCGCAACCACCAGAACGTCGTATAATCCATCAGAAATCGAAATCATCCAAGGTAACTAGTATGCTAAATTTGTTCATTTTCTGCCTATTATCTTCACATTAATGAATGCTGTCATGTCCAGTCGACACATTGGTGTCACTGAATCTGATCCGTTTCATGTTGCTCTCTGAAACAGAAGCAAGTTCAGAAGATACAGCCACAGAGCACGCCTCATTCCTCAGAAATATCTTCGTTTGACCCCGAACAGTGGGAACTCAATGCTGTCACAAATTCTGATGGAAGACGTAACTTCCCTGGGATCCACTCTTCGGAGTATCCCACTGGACTGGACCGAGTCTCAGAGCGCGTCTCAGAACAGATGAAGGTATTGCACATTCTCTTCAGGCAGGTTCCTGTCCACAATTTTGTGCTTAACAATATCGCCAAGCAAGGAAAAATGGTCAATAGTCATCACATAATCCTGGAGGGAAAAGATTAAAGATAACAAGGTTTGCAGGTGTTTGAGGGAGCACCGAAAGTGGAAAGGAACAATGGTTCGTAGTTTGCAACTCTGATCGACCTTCTACGTTAACATGCCCGCATGCATGCTTGCGGTTACTTAGGAATTTGTGCTGCCCTGTACTAATTGGTGAATATTGTTTCTCTGTCCGCTGTAGAGGTGGTTCCTAGAACAAAGACAAATCGGACAGATGGTGGGGAAGCGAATGCTAAGTGCTTATCAAGTAGCCATGACTAGTGTTGTAGACCAGCTGTTCATACCATCAGACAAGCCAGTCCCTTTCATAAAGGTGAGATTGCATGGGGAAGACTGCCACATCTTCGACATAAACAGTGTTCACATCGCTTTTTGTCGCAGTTTGCCTCGTCACTTAAAGAGCTCCTTCTTATATATTGCAGAAAGGCGTTTGAATTTCAGGTCGTATTTTGGTTTTCTTTGAATCAGGGAAATTTCGCACCAGTGGATGAGGTCGTTGAAAAGGTCAGATGTGAGGTGGTAGACGGACACGTTCCACAGGACTTTCCTCCCGGTTGCTACATTCGAAATGGTGAGCTCAAGAGGAATCAGCTGAGGTGAAAGTTCTCCATATTAGACGGGTCAATCTCTCGTCAATAATGAATACTATTCACTTTATATAATACGAACATAGTCAACAGTTCAGTAACATTTTTCGACGAGTCTGATAGAGTCTTGTCCATATTCAATTCCAAACTAAGCGCTTACAGGTTCTTCGAAGTCTTCGTTTTGTTTTTTCGATCTGACCAGACTTCAAAACTGTAGACATGATCTGAGGCCAAAGTAGTTATTTTCAGATAGCCTTAATACATGAGCAACGTTCCAACTAGTGTTAACTATCCTCCTCGTCGAATGTGCTGGATTATTCGCAGGACCCAATGCAAAATTCGGTGCTTCTCAGAACTTAGATTCGCCACTTCTCGGTGGAACAACATACTACAGTTGGTTTGAGGGAGAAGGAATGCTTCACGGGACTTACATCGAGAAAGACGGAAGCATTTGGTATATGAACAGGTACGTGGAAACAGACAGCTTCAAGATGGAGAAAGAACTGGGAAGAAAAGTGTACCTCCCCACAATGGACGAGAAGTCTACGCCAGGCCTAAGATTTAATCGAATGATTAATTTGGTAAGGGATTTACTACAATCCTTTATGGCACTCATACATGCTCCTAAAATCGACTAAGAGACAAATCCAGAATTGAAGGCCTCATCTTGAGAGAAATCTAAAAGAATTCCAGCTCCAAATCCAATCATGATCTCAATTAGAGGTGAATTTTTAATCCGATGAACATTTCAGGTAAGGTATGGAGCGCCCCAAAGCAATCCCGGGAACACTTCAGTATTTCAGCACGCAGGGCATGTGGTGGCAGCTGCAGAAGGTGCCAAGGCTTATGAAATCAATATTTCGGACTTGAGTACGAAGGGTGAATACAACTGTAATGGGCAGTGGAATCGCAGATTCTTCGGTCCTCATCCTAAAGTTAGTCCCTTCAAATCCGACATTGTTTTGATTTGATTCTGAAGCAAAGCAAATCAGAGGAGTGATTTCTCTCTGCTCTACACATAATACTTCAAATGTGGTAAAAATTATTAATTCCTGTGCAATTGGCATTCAGGTACATCCCGATACAGGGGAATTGGTGGTGTTCGGCTTCGATATTTTTCCACCGTATTACGTCTTGGGTGTTCTGTCAGGTATATGCAACAAACATACGCATCAGATGTTTATATTTCAGGACCTTTGGAAAGTCCAAATTTCCAGTCTCCACTCAGTTTGTAGATGATGGGTGCTAACAACCTTTACAATGATCAAACCTCCTGAAGGTGATGGCAAAAAGTTTACGAATAAAGTAGATCTGGGGATGGACAGGCTTGTTCTCATGCATGACATCGGAATCACAGATCGGTACGTATTGTCGTTTGAACAGGCTCTGCTGTATGATGTAGATTCTGAAGTTGGCTTCGGTCTTTCAGGCGAGACTTCAAGTTAACTGTATTTCCACGTCCTGTGACTGTGCAGGCACGCTATATTGTACGATTTTCCGGTTATGATGGATCTTGCCAACATGCTTGTGAACGGAGGATCGTAAGTAAAAATTTGCCAAGAATTTCAAACATAGACAAACATATGCTCATGATCCCAGCAACCTGTGTTCTAGATTACTTTCTGAGACTCTGCATACCTCTATATTTGCTCCATGGACTGATATATTGTCACTGATGGGCAGAATTGTATCATTCGATCCTACCAAACACTCGAGATTAGGAGTGCTGCCTCTAACAGGAAGTTCAAAATCAATTAAGTGGTTTGATGTAGAAACAGCCTGCATCTCCCATCACTGTAATAGTTACCAAGATGGAGATGAGGTGAGAATAGCCATATATTCATTATACATGTACAGTAAAAGGTTTGTACATGTCATTCAACTATAGATGTACATGACGTTTCTATAAGCTACCAACTTTCATACATGCTTAGATTTCTAATCAAAACCTGCATCGAGATTTCTGAAGTGTGTTCACTTTTTTTAATTACTGTCTTCCACAGATTGTGGTTCATGGATTGTGTACACAACTCATTCAACTGGTAGCCGTTCCCGCCAGATTCGATAAGATCGAATGGTATTCAAGGGGAATGACTCTTAATGCTGACAATAATTTTGCAACCAAAGATCCGTCTATAGATGGACTGTTATATGAGCACTTGCATGAGTGGAGGCTTAACCTCAAAACAGGTATGTTCAGCATAAGAATGTGTGCTACCAAATACCGGTTATTAGTTTCAAAATTCTTCTATTTACAAATTGTTAATCAGAACATATATGTGCAACGGATACTTGCTGATATCTAACGCGAAACCATCTTAAGTTCTATCTTAATTATATAGAGGAGAATCTAATCGTGAGACTTTCCATGTCTCCACTTTCCCTACAGGAGCCGTGGTTGAAAGAAACATGACTCAAAATAAATTCCCATTAGAACTTCCAAGAATAAACGATCGAGTAAACGGCAAAAAATATAACTACTTCTATGCTTGCTCTGAAGATCTTGAGGCCAGCAAGGCTGTAGGTATGTTGATTCGATTTTCTGAAATCATTTAGTTTTTGCTTTCTCAGAACTACTGAAAACTAGTCTCACTTGTAAATTATTATGAACATCAAATTGTGCTGTTTTGAGGGTCCCGTTTTTGGGATGTCGATCTAACTAGAAATTTTCTTTGTGTTCAACTCAGTCAACTGTGCTGAATCTATCAGGACGTCGTATTTTGCAGGCTTCCCTATGTTCAGATACTTGGTCAAAGTGGACGTATCTCCCGCAGGAAACTCTCTCGTAAACACTTTTGAACCAATTCATGGATTTGACTCCATGTACTGTTTTTTAGAACTTAGTTCTACTATGCTCCAACATTCTAATTCGACTAACATTCTTTGTGTCTCTTGTTGGTTTTGTTCAGGCTCAATTTCATGATGTGGGAGAAAACACTTTTTGTTCAGAACCTGTTTTCGTGGCAAGACCCGGTTCTCTTCAAGAAGATGACGGGTGGATCGTGACATATGTACATAATGAGTCAACTAATTTGTCTGATGTAAGATTCTTTCGATGAATCAAGCCTTGCAATTCCCATGATCACATCATAACTCAAATTATGCATCACTTCAGGGATGTCGCAGATGTGACATACAATATAGTTGTCACAGAGAAGCTGATTCTGAATCTCAGCTGAGATCTAGAAGCTGACTGAACACGTCGATGACTCGTCATTGAAGGAATGTATATACTAATCTGATGAGCCATTTCTGCTGTACGCAGATGATTATCGTAGATGCGCAACGCTTCGAGGAGAAACCAGTAGCAAGAATACGATTGCCACATAGAGTACCCTACGGCTTCCATGGAGCGTATATATCATATTGACCGCCATCAAATTTCGAATATGAAATTGCTTCTGGATGAACTGTGCTATAAATTGTTTATAAATTTTGAGTTCAAGCAAGAACAAGTTCCAGTCCAGATCTGCCATAGTCTACTACAGAAATGCATGAAAGCACAGAATACAAAACTTTTTTGTGCAGCTCATCGGTGCACACAAGTTTCTCTGTAGGATACACGTAAATTAAACAATGTAATAGATTCTACACTGATTCTAGATGTTACAAAGGATCGTAAACCCCAAAAATATTGCCGATATTTCAAGGCGACTTAGTAATTAGGAAAGCTACTATGAAACCACTTTTAAAAATGGATCAACGATAAACAGTAGTTGTAACATATAATTCAACATGTTGTACAACTTCACACACTGTAAAATTTGGATTTGAATTCATGTGTTTTCACTCAAGTGATATGGGTTGTTCATAATTCGCTATGGACATTGGCTATGTAAAATAAATTTAAATTGATGATATAAATTGCTCATTCAATAAACTAGATCAATACGCCAAGGATATTGTATCATAAATTCAAATACAAGTCACACACGAGGTTGTTATGTTGTAGCGAACATTCTTCAACAACTCTCACACGCCTGTATGCACATACACTGAAAATTGAGGTACTTCAACATCCCTCCAACTCTCTAATATGCAATTCGTCAAAAGAAAATTTATAAATTGGATATCTAGAATCAAACATTATAATTAAACACTTATAGATATCTCTAAATAAAAAAATCATATCAATACACACAAAATCTTACAAACAGATGTGAACGAAAGACAAGTGTCATCTTTGCATTAACTTCTGATTCATCAAATATCGCTTTCATCTAATGTAACTCTGAGCGCTTCAACACGTAAAAAATTGTGATTTTTGCACTTACTACTAACCCATCAACTATCGCTCTTATATCTTGCAATACTAGGCGTTTCAACACGTATATAATAAACACGATTGCATATCCATGCAATCGTGTCTCATGCGTAAATACACCTCCTAACCAAACATCACGCGAAACCTGCTCAAAGGATAAGACGATTCCTCGGTCTTGTTTAAAATACATCAGTCTCTAAAAAAATTTGTTTTCCAATCGATACGTTTTACGGTCACAGGGTTACGAAGATATCATGATGAAACTCGTAATATTGATTAGTTGTTAATGTGATCATTCTATTTCAACTCAAGAATTAAACTTAATAACGAAACAAATTTGATTCAACCTTTTACAATTTGACAATATTTTAGTTTTTCAACCTTGATAAAATTCCACGTGATTTAATCTCATGACAAACACATCACACTTTAAAATGAATATATTATTGAATCATTCTTTGGGTGCTCTTATAGCCTCTGCCACTAAAGTCGAGTCAATTTGTGGCAACAATACATAAATCTTGAAAAACATAACTTTACTACATGTTCCTCAAATATGTCAATTGGTGACCAATATGGGTGTAAAGGATGAAAATCATGACGAGAAAAGAATGCCCATGGTAACAGAGGAAACCCAACCGGGCCCACATTGTCGAGGCACTGGTGCCTCACCATGTGGGCATTCCCTGGAGATCACGGCAGTGGACAATACTCGAGACAGACTGGAGTTCTGTTGTTGTGGTAGACACTTGTGCCGACTCTGCATGGGATGTTCTTGCAGCTGATTGGACATGGGAAGAGTACGTGAATAAGTTATTTATTTATATTAACTCTGTTGGAAAATTAATATGATTGCACACATTCTGACGACATATTCACACGTTGTGGTATGATGCTCACGTGCCATAGACTACTGTCTACGTTTTGGTCCCAGATTGAATGTGATCCACACGAGAATATTCGTTGTCCCTGAAATAATATTAAAAAAAATTTCCACTGTTGACGTGAACTGTGATTGAATGGTATCTTCTTCTGTCGATGAGAAGAACTTGAGCGAGTAACAAGCAAGGCAAAAGGTGAGGCCTGAAAAATTAAATGCCCAAATGCGGTCAAAACGTGAAGCAGTTGATTGTCAGAAGCAGACACTCTGATTTTCAACATGATTCCGATCAGATCCCTTCAGTAAACAGATTGGGCCCCCTCATTTTGAGTTTATCAAATGAGGCAGATCTTGAACATCACGCTCTGTAAAGCATGATTGTCTCGTGTTCCGGAGGGAAATTTAGTAACAAGTTTGAGAAGACGGTGACAGAGAACAGAAGCATCGAAACTATGTGTCGGGGCAACTAGTGCGTTATGCTTTCACGGTTCAGATGTCAGCACCACAGATGGTATCTGGGTAAGTGATTGGTTTTTTCTCAATGAATAAAATAGAGATATATTTGACATGCTTCCACAATAAAAGTTCCTCAAGGATGTTGTTCCACCATTCAAAAGGAAAGTCAGATGGGACCCAAGCTCGCGACACAGGCATACTCGTGCCTGTGTCGCGACACAGGCACGAGTATGCCGTACTGCAGTCTCGAGACTTGAAATGGAAGGCTATTGGATGACATCATGTAATTTGACAGTGGCACTCAACAGAGATATGGCTCTAGAATATGTGCTCTAGGTCTCATCTCTCATGAGGTCCCCATCATACACCGGGTTTACATCAAAGGTGTGCCTCGAATAGAATTCTTCTAAAGCGCAGATATGATCCCCGTTTTGAAAGTCAATGTCACAAATATCACAACAGATTCACAAGACCATCTATCAATGGGTACTGGACCACATGGAGACTGTCCTCGCTACGCAACACTATACACTATGTTGACGATCGAAAGAATCCCATTTATGTGGTTGCCAGAGAGGTACGACAGATTTCTGCAGCAAGCTTCCAAACACATGTCGTTGAAAATCAATTGACTCTGGAATCAGAAGTTCGGGGAGTACCGCTGCCTCTAATTTGGAATATGTAGATTTACAGTATGGACTCCTAGCCTCTCACACAGCGTGTGGCACCGACCTCTTGTGGCTCTTCGGCTCACTCACTGTGAGAATCTGAAAATAGTAGATAACCATGTTTTGATGTTATTTTGACTTGGTGACCAATAAAAGTGACAAGTAGTGATTGGGGAGTAAAGTCGAACTTACGCTGTCGACTTTTACACTCCAAGGTATTAAAAGTAAATGATTATTGTCACCGTTGTCATTGAGACGTCCTTTGCAAAGTAGATGAGTGTATTCAGCATCACGCGTCCCACTTACAGCAGATTGTGCTGTCAACGCACAATCTCCTGTCGTTGGCCAACATAGCCGATAAGAGGCTGACTTGAATTATGATTTTCTATTTCTATTTTTCAAGTCGTCTATCGAAGCCAGTAGAAATTGCATTCTTTGATACATAGTTTTAATAAAGCACATTTGAATCACAATTTTTTTTTAGCTCTATTATAATCTATCGATGAGTTCATATGGAATTAGCATTACTTTCATATGGAACTTGTGAAACTATTTTCCATAGTTCCACAAGAAAATATGCCATGGAAAATATTTGAAGACTATTATTTCGAATGATTTTTAAAAGCTCATCCAACATTTATGAACATGTGAATGTATTGAAATTACAAGATTCCAACATAAACATTTCGGACAATAACGTTGCCAGTTATGAAAGCTATCCCATATATACATGTCGGTTCAATCAAGGACGTAGAATGAACTTGCTTGCGCTTGAATGTTGTATCTACAAGTTGAGGCGACTTTGCTTACAGGAAGCATTTTTATAGACGTTCTTTGACATGAGGGGAACCTCGTGCAGTGGTCACGATGCTTGATGTATTTCATTTCTATTACTTCCCTTATTAGCTTGACAATCTATGAGATTTCGCCTGCAATTGGATGTGAGTCTTGCCTTTGCACATTCCACTCATGTTGTTCTGAGGACAAAAGTTTGATGTGATCACCAACATCTTGTTGTTGAAGCATTTGTTTTGAACCTTGAACATCTGACTTTGAAGCACGACTTATAAGCAAGGCATTTGATGAAGAACAAGGTGTTGAGATCATGTTCATGATGCCATACAACATGATCAGTTTCATGAATTCGATGATCAATTTGAAACTGATAAAATATTAAATGAAAGATTACAAAATGAAGATCCAAAATCCAAGATTGTAGATTATGTTTGATTATTTATGCGTTTTTTTTAAAATTCATTTAATGATTTTACTAATCTTAAAACCAACTTTTCTTGATTTCTTTTGCCAATGTGTTATTTTTAAAATTTTTCTCATCAAATATTTTGGCAAATAATGATGTAGATCAATTTGATCATGAATATATCACATATGACAACAAGTGCACATGCTAGTGAAATATAGCATAGTTTGCTACACGTTCAAAAATCGTTAATTATGATAATCCACATTTTCTCTTGTGAGGTCTTTAATTACTCACCGAGCTTTGATCACTAAATCAATACTCAATTTGTAAACTCGTTTGCTATCAATCAACGAATGAATATTAAGACTGCGTAGCATTATGTCATCCAAATTTATTGACAGAAGATTAAGATCTTTCATATAAACAACAGTTTTTTCCCAAAGATCAACACTGACATCACCAATCTGAAATTAAATATAATAGTTTTCAAAAATGGACGAATCAATATATTTTTCATCTCTTGTAAGCATTTGATTATTTATGTAAAAACCTATGAATGTTTTTTTGGATTGATTTTCATTATGTGCTATAGTGTTTTCAAACTCACCAATGATAACAGGTAACTCATATTTTAAAAATCTGCTTCATGTCATCACAATGATTTGACATTGACTGATTAGAATTAAATAATGAGCTCATGAAATGAAGAGCATATTTCATTTCGTTTTTTCCATCATTTTGAAATGATGGAAAAATAAATTCATTATAAATCATATATCTTGGATATTTTTCCATTGAATCTATTTTTTATCCAATACATTGTCAATGTCACGTGTATTGTTTCACTTTGATATGTAACATAAACTTATAATCAAATTTTAGCTACTCCTTTGGTATTTTTTGATGCGCAAATGGCGTGAAGAATTATAGTCTAAGAGATCTTATAACTTCAGAGATTATAAATTGTCTGTTAAAAGTTTTTAATATGAGCTTAGATTATTGAAAGAAGAGAGATTGTTATTAAGAAGATAAAATTGAAACAAGTTTGTTTGACAAGACAATATACTGCCTCATATATTTGCTGATAAATGATAAATTTTATATTCTTCCAGTTATGTACAAGAAAAATAGATGAATGTCAAATCTATAGAAGACTCATACAAAATTGTGAAGTAACCTCTAATATACCTGAAAGAGTATTAGGTATTATAATATTATATTTGATGGTTTTATAAAAATGATAAAATCCTCTTAAACTATGTTGATCCTAAGTAGGGAAGAGAAT